GCAAAGGCTCCGACATACAACCTCGGATAAGTCTCACATCTTTTGTGGATTCTTTTAGCATCTTCTACAAAGATTCTTAGCAGGCTAAAAAGCTTCAAAAAAGTATATTATGCAATATATCAGAGTATGACTCAAAGATGCATAAATAATTCAATTTCCTCTAAGGGATAACATCTCAACTTCATATTCAATATCACTGGAGTTGCATTGTAAAAATTGTACTAAGAAGTACATTTTTGTAGGGATTTGAAAGCAAAAAGTACTTTGACATGAGCTGTACAAGTTACAATCATCAAACAACAAGCAACTTCAAGACAGTCACATATCCTTAGTGGATCTGAAAGGCTTCTTCTCTACTGCACACAAGCATCTCTTACAACTTCTTCAAAGAAAAATTACAATTTGGTCTTCATCAGGCCTCAACTCAGTTGATACTATACATCTGTCGCCAGAATATCGGCATAACACACTGCTCCGCCCCCTTGAATAAGGGATATCTAATGTCGGCAAACTGCCGTATGGATGCTTATTATCTTTGCAAAATGTAATCAGACCACCGTCATCATTGGCTCTTTGCCTGATGTTCGTGTCAGTCCTTTACTTCGTAGAAGCCATCATCGGGTTCTCGCTCGACTGCTACTTGCAACGCACCTTCAAACTCTCCCCTTCAGCTCTCCATTCGATCGTTGATTGCTAATGGGCTTCAACTCGATCGTCCATCGCAAAAAAAACTTCCGTTCAAATGGCATTGAAATTCTCTCAATCTGCTCATCACTTATGGTTCTCCTCCAAGATGCTATCATCGCTAGATCTTCTCAAATCACCCTCGCATATAATCAACAATTGATCTTCTTCCGTTGAGGGTTGTCTATTAAGAAGATAGCCTCTCATCGCGACTTCTTCTACACAAAAGAGGGGCACTGAAGCTTGATAGGGGAATACCGCCTATCTGCGACAGTAGAATGTCTCCAATGCAAGAAGAAGAGGAGAAGAAATCCCCTAACTTCTGCACGAGAGGAGGGGCGCTAAGTCGAGCAGGGGAAATTTCCCACTCAAAAATAGCGGAGAGCCTCCACTGTCAGAAAGCCAGAGGGGCGGAAGAAGTCTCCTAACTTCTGCACGAGAGGAGGGGCGCTAAGTCGAGCAGGGAAAATTTTTCACTCGAAATTAGCGGAAGGCCTCAACCGTCAGAAAGCCAGAGGGGGGAAAGAAGTCCCCTAACTTCTGCACGAGAGGAGGGGCGCTAAGTCGAGCAGAGGAAATTTCCCACTCGGAATTAGCGGAAGGCCTCAACCGTTAGAAAGCCAGAGGGGCGGAAGAAATCCTCTAACTTCTGCACGAGAGGAGGGGCGCTAAGTCGAGCAGGGGAATTTTTCCACTAGAAAATAGCGGAAGCCTCAACCGTTAGAAAGCCAGAGGGGCGGAAGAAATACCCTAACTTCTGCACGAGAGGAGGGTGCTAAGTCGAGCAGGGGAAATTTCCCACTCAAAAATAGCGGAAGCCTCAACCGTCAGAAAGTCAGAGGGGCGGAAGAAATCCTCTAACTTCTGCACAAGAGGAGGGGCGCTAATTCGAGCAGAGGAAATTTTCCACTCGAAATTAGCGGAAGGCCTCAACTGTCAGAAAGCCTGAGGGGCGGAAGAGATCCCCTAACTTCTGCACAAGAGGAGGGGCGCTAATTCGGCGGCCGGTTCGGCCGTCAAACATTCCCGGGCTCCGATTTTCTGCCCGAACGGTCCGATTCAGACTTTTTTGGGGTCTCCGGACACGTTTTTCGACATTCCGGACTCGATTTTGACACTTTTGTAGCTCAACGGGGCCTCTACAACAAGTTTGTGCAAGTGTTCAACTTTCGGAACGCAATTTTTTGCGATTCGGTGAATGTAAAATTTCGGAACAAATATTTTCGGACTCCTGGAGCTTCGACGTCCGAAAATAGGGGGGAAACTGATACATTATCATGAAATTATCTTGATTGGGCACTAATCTCGATGCAAATCCCAACCCAAAAACTTCAAAAATTAAGTCCGGGAGCACCCGAACTCCGATTTCAGCGAGCTTACAGGCAAACTGAGCGTCTCGGAAATACGAACCCAACGACACCAAATTCAACCCAATCCGAGCCCAAAGGAGAGACGATCCTCCTCTCTAATTGAGGATCACTTGTACTTTGTTTCCATGCTTGTTTGGCTTTGATTTTCGTATTGGAATCTATCGTTTCTGCTGATTTCTCACAGATTTTGTGTTATTCTCGCAGTTTTTCACCAATTGTTGGTAGGTTTGCTTGCAAACTCAGTATTACCCATAGGGTTACTTGCGAACTCAAGTATTTCCTATCACATGTTTGCCTATTCTTTTCCTTATGCTGTCAAATGCTATTGCTATTTCTTCTTACTTAACATGTCAAACCTGGCAGAGAAATAAACAAATCAAAGAATTTCTTGGATTTACCACTCATTTGAAATATTTCTTGCATCAGGCTTCTGAAATACATGTAGAGCCAGTCCAGCTTTCTGGACCTACTGAAAATCCCACTAGTGAAAAGACTAACAAGCACTCATCCACCATGAAATCTTCCACTTCTACTGCGTCAGAGTATAATAAAAGCTTGCTTGAATCTAATGAAAAGATTGAGACCTTCACAAAAAACAATGAGAGATGTAGTGTAAATGGCATCGAGGACTTGAGCTCTATGGAGCAATTACAACAAATACAATTACTGGGACTTAATGATTCTAGAGTAAGTGAAGATGTGATTTCAGTCCCATTGGATGACATTATTCAGGAATTACAGGCTACACCTGAGAAGTCAGAAGCCGAGCCTGTAGTTCCTTTTTCAGATGCTCCTCTTATAGGAGCTCCATTCCGACTTATTTCTTTTGTAGCTAGATTTGTCAGTGGAGCAGATCTGGTTGATCAAGAGAAACCGAAAAGAGATTTCTGAAACTATTTGGAAGCTGGAGCTTACAGATATCTTTGTATTTATCATGAGAAGAAACTTATCTGACTGTTCAGAAGATACTATTTTAGTGACAGAATCCATTAGATTGAGTGGAATAGTGGTTTATACATGCCAAGAGTTTGAAGTCAGTTACAGAAGCGATAATATTTTGACAGTGAAAAGATTAAGTGTTTGTTTGGAATGGCTTTCTTACTGCTTCTTAAAGCAGTTTTTTTGTACAAAAATTAAATTTTTTTACTAGAAAACTGCTTTAAGAAGCAATAAGAAATCCGTCTCAAACGAAGCTTAAGAGAGAATAACAGAATTTACACAATTTTGTTGTTTAATTCAGTTGATGGCTGAGTTTTATTTTGAATCGACCTCAGATTTTAACAGCAAACTCAGTTTCAGAATTTCAGTATATTTCATATTGTAGTTTTATTTTATTACTTTAAGTTCCAAACTTTTGTCCTCAGAGAAATTTGGTAACATTTGGGGCTGAATTTTGAATATCTTTATTGAAAGATGTTTTTAGCTCAGTAATTAGTACTTAAATTTTAGTTTACCAACTTTATATTATGATATTTTGATAAAAAATGATTAGGAGCTTAAAGTTTTTGAATTTACATCAAATTTGTGTTGCAGTCATTGTAAGGTAGATGTAAGGGCTCTAAAATTCATCTTGCTAAGAAATTTAGGTTTTATTTGGGACAGTTTTTTTATTATTTTTTAATATAAAAAGTTTCTTAATTAGAAATTTTGTATTAAAATATTGCTTAAAAAGCATTTTTTTATATAAAAGTTTAATTTTTTACTTAAAAATTGCTTTAAGAAGAAGAGGTAAGAAAGTCGTGATGGCGTGATTTTCTTATTGTTTTGTAAAGTTATTTTTTTCGTACAATTAATTTTTTAGAAGCATGAAAAAAAATAGTAGTTTAAAATTGGTCAAATATTTTTACCTTTTTTCACTTTTTGTTATGGAAACTTCATTCATCTGAGTTATATTGCAGTGAATCTTTTTTAATGACATAATTTTATAAAATTTGATAATATTTTTTTACTTTTTTATTTCCGAAACAAAAAGAAAGGGGGGTTTGAATTAAACAGATTTCTTACGTTTGAAAATGTGAAAATGTTGCTAGTGATGAAATTTTCATAATTATGAGATTATTTTTTTAAGGGAAAAATCAGTGATTTCTTTGAAAAATAACAAGAGGTGGAAGTTGAATTTGTGCTGCTCTCTGATTGGTGGGATGAATATTAGACGAATAGTGTATTGAAGAATATAAATAGAATTTGTTGTGCATGCAAAATTTTTATAATAGATTTATTTATGATAATTTTTTTTTTTTCAAAATTCTCTAAAATGGCCAATTTAATTGAATGGATGCTAAGTGAGGTTGCAATTAAGGTTCTTTTTTTCAAAGCGACTTTCTAGCACAAAAATTTTTTGTTTAAAAAAATTTTTGTTCTAAAAAACTACTTTAAATTGTAGTGGTTTAAATTCAAATATAAAGTTTTTCCATAAAAGTTTAGCTAGTTTTCCAATCTTAATTATTTTTTTATTATTTCTCATTAATTTATTATTTTTTTATTATCTTATTGCAATTGTAAAAATTTAAATATTCTTTTTCATAAATGAGTCGGCTTGTGATGAGCCCAAAGATGATCTATAGAATTTAATAGTTTGATATGATCATACTCCAAATGAGCCTAAATCAAACACTTAAATTATAATTGAAGACTTTGTGACATTTATTGGATGATAAAATAATCTTTAAATTTTGCATGCTTTTAGTTTAATGAGCGTCTTAACAAGATAAATCCAACGAGCTTAAGATTGATTAATTCCAACATAATTAAGATACTTTAATGATGAAAGAATGACATATGATCAAGGGAATCACCATGGACCATTTAATAAAGTGTTTTTAATTTTGGCTATATTTATAGGATATGCTACTTTAAAATTTTATAAATATATCTCACTTCCTATATTGAAAGTATCATTTGCCTAAGATTCAAGAGAGCTTAAGGCTAGAAGAATCATAAAGCTTCACCAATGTGTTACAATCACATAACAAATAATGGAGGATCAAACAAAGTCTTGTGACACCTTACAAGCGAATTTAGCCACAATAAAGCTCTCTCACTTCTCTTGAAAGATTAATAAAATAGCTTAATGAAACGCAGTTTTAATCACTTCAACTTATTATCATCTGATGAAGGGCGATCATCTGAGTCAGTTTGTCGAAGATCTTCAATCATCCTAACCACTTCTTCCATTCTCGGCCTCTGGTGTGGATCTCTTGATGTGCAAGCCAAAGCAAGCTGAAGCATCCCAACCAACTCTTCTTCAATATGGGGGTACCTCATAAGCTCCACATCAAACACCTCTGCAGTCCACTCCTCTCGAACAACAGACTGAACCCATCTGGGCAAATCAACAATCTCATCATGGCCGGGAGCACGGACCGGAGATTTCCCGGTCAGCATTTCGAGAACCACGACGCCGAAGCTGTAGGAATCAGTCTCATGGGTGAATTTCCGGGTCTCGGCGAACTCGGGAGCGAGATAGCCGACGGCCATGCGAGAGGGAGTGGTAGGACAGCTGATAAGCTGTGAAACACCATAGTCTGAGACCAAGGCATGGAGGTCTGGGGTGAGGAGGATGTTTGAAGATCTTATGTTGCCATGGGAAAACTTCACACCAGCTTCTGCATGTAAGTGAGCTACAGCCTTGGCTGTTCCTAGCATGATCTTTAATCTGGATTCCCAGTCTAATGGAGTTCTTCCTGCATTTCTGTTTCCTGTTTGCAGATGGAGATGGAACATTATATGAAATGGAGGAGCAGGAAATTCATAAGATGTGATGGAAATGTCTGGACTTTTTTTTTTTTTTTTTTTGAATGTTAGAGCACAATTTGATGCATGAGGAAGACTTAAACTTTGTTTGAGACGGCTTTCTTACTACTTTTTAAAACAGTTTTTTAATATAAAATTAAAATTTGTGTACACAAAAAGCTGCTTTAAAGTGCAGCAAAAAAGCAACCCCAAACGAAGCCTTAATTTCGAAATTTTGATAAGATCCTTTTGTTTAACAAATGTCTTGTAAAAAGCAGTATACAAATGCTCTTTTTTGAGGAAGAACATTTTTTTTTCTTTTATTGCTTGATGTTTTTATTGTAGCATAGCATAATATCCATGAAAAACATTACTTGTCTTTAATGCAAGCACACAAAATTTTCAAGACAAAGAAAGCTACCTAACAAAAAAGCAAAATAATCACCAACTGACTAACAAGATAGGATATTCTAATAAATAAAATTGTTCTCCACCTAACTAATAAGACAAAGTATTTGTTTTGATATGCCGTATATCTCATGAATCTACCATAATTTATTGTGTAGATTTCTTGAAAACTTGTAAAGATATCTGTAGCCTTCCAATATATCCCTTAAATACTAATGTGGGTCTCACTAACATTTACTTTGATAAGCATTAGTCTGGTTGACTATAAACTGGAGGACAACAGCCATTCAGACACACCCATCAAAGATATTTAGATGGAATAATTATATGAATATTAAGCTTACCATTAGATTTGTATTTAGGAAGACTTTTTATATAAGAATATTAAATTGAATTTCACCTTGGAGAGAGAGAGAGAGAGAGAGAGAGAGAGAGAGGTGGTGAGAGGATGATTAGTATGGGCAATCCTAAGAATGAAAAATAATGTTCAAATTTGTAATGGTTTATTTTGTTTGATTCAGGACATTTAAGTTCTTAGAAGTATTATGAAAGATAAATAAGTCATTTCATTGAGTAGAATTATAGCTTGGTAACTGAGAAATCTCCTTCAAAATTTTTTGTACTGTAATTTTTTTATTATACATAGATCTCACTTGCTATTGATGCTTTAATAAAATCATTACTCATGAAAAATAATCTAAATATATAAGGACAAGGGCGAAATGGTGGTATTTAAAGTTTTAAACTTGATAGGGTATCTAAACTAAATGATTTATGCATGCAAACAAAAACTAAAAGTTTATCATCATTAGACTCATCCCAATTATCTGAGGCCGGCTTTTTCAATTCTCATTTTTCATTAATTTTTGAAGACAATTTAAAATTAGATTTTTAAACTCCATAATATTATTTGGCTTGATCATAATCCATAATAAAATATTGGGGCCAAGATTTATATTTATCATGAGAAATAATTCTATCCTACTAAAATTACATTTCTTATGAATTAGTACCCATGGAGGGTTTAGTTATCATAATGGCTACGAAAATGTGTAGGATTAGAAAATCTAAAAATAATTTAATTATGATCATACAAAAATCACATGTACTCCTTCAAAGGCAAGGGGATTTGGACCACATAAGCTATCCACTATAAGTTAAACCTCGTATGAAAATATGAACTCCTTTAGAAGTAAAATTTCACATAATACATGTGCTCCAATAACAACTAAAACATTGCATGACACATGGGAAGATTTAGAATTTACATGAATCTAATTCCCTTATTGTCGTGTAGTCCGATTTTAGATTAGGTTGTTCCTATCTGGCATCACACTATTGTAAATCCTATATATAGTATGTATAGGTTGATGTAAAGTTCACCCTCTGGTAATAGCCTATAAATTAAAAATTTTGAATTCCCTACAGCATCTCTCCTTCTCATCCCTCCCTTCCCCCACTCTCTCTCTCTCTCACTCTCTCTCTCTCTTGCAAGAAGGCTCAAGAAGCGCTTCTCTTCCTCAAGCAATCTATGTTAAAGCATAAGTTTTTAGGCTTTGCATTTTGGAGGCATTCAAGTAGCAGTCTAGAAGTAGGAAGGATGAAAAGCACCTCCAAATCTGTCATAATTATAATTTCCAACGCAAAAAACGAAGCTTTGTTAGGTGCTATAAAATATTAATAACTTTATGAAAGCTGACAATCTATACATCAGCATCAGGCAAAGATTATTCATATTCTCGGGTCAGATCATCAATCCACTCAACCAGTAAACGTAGATATAGTAACTATGTCAATATTAATAGCATGCGGTAGAATTAGAAGATGTAACCTATAAGGCATCTAAGCTAAATGATTTATGAATCACGCAAGAAATTTTATAGATAAAGTACTTAAGGATATCGGCTTAAATTCCTTCACATTAAATGATGCATTCATGAGTTAGATGACAAATAAACACCTAAGGAGAACACATACCATGCAGAAGTGCAGATAAGTTGCCAGTGGAGGAGTATTCATACACCAAAAGCTTTTCATCCTTTGCATAATAATAAGCTCGCACAGGTAAAATATTTGGATGGTGTCCAACCCTCCCAATGATCTCCATCTGCTGCTCAAATTCCTTCTTACCTGCCACCACCTCCTTAAGCCTCTTCACCACCACTGTAGTGCCATCCTCAAGAACAGCCTTATAAGCAGTCCCATAACTCCCCTTTCCAAGAACCTCAGCAGAAGCTCTCAGAAGATCATCCAAGTCAAAGTTATAAGAGCAGCTATCGAAAAAACACAATTTATTCCTTTCAGCCTCTTGAATTCCACTGCTATACTCCTCATGTTTCTCATCCCTTCCAACACTTGACACCTTTCTCTTTGTCAATTCACCAGATTCACTATCTTCCCTCTTCAAGATGCATATAAGTAAAATGATTGCAAGAAGGAAAACTAAGGCCAGTCCGCCGACCATGATTGCAATTATGACACCAATGGTTAATTTTTTGCTTGAGTTTTTCTGGTGATCATTGGGAAGTAGAGGAAGAGGTGATAAGGGAAATGAAGGTGAGGGGGAAGGGAGAATAGCTGAGCATTGAGGTAGAGGAGGGCCACATAACTGCATGTTTCCAATGAATGAATCATTAGGGAAACTCTGGAGAGAGAAAGGCACAGAGCCATTCAGATTGTTGAAGCTAACATTAAGATATTTAAGCTTTGGGAGCTTGAGGTCAGGTATGGGACCTGAAAGAATATTGTTCTTGAGATTCAGTGATGTGAGATGAGATAAATTCCGGATTGTGGTTGGAATTTCTCCCGAAAAAAAGTTGAAGGAGAGATCAACAGAGCTGAGCATGAAAGAAAATGAATCAGGCAGATTTCCTGAGAAATTATTATGTTGAAGGTAGAGAAAGCGCAGGGAAGGAAGGGATGCAACATCTAATGGGAGTGTACCACTAAGTTCATTCAGTCGAAGGCTTAAAACTTGCAAGGCATCAAGCTTTCCTATGGTGTTAGTAGGGATATTTCCAATGAGACCAATCCCAGGAAGCCTAACTCCGAGGACACGCGCTCTATCTTTTGTGCAAGTGACTCCAATCCAAGATGAACAAGTTGGTCTATCAAGCCTCCAATTAAGCTTCTTGCCATGGTGAACTGCAGCAGCAAAACCAAGAAGAGCTTTCTCGTCGCGACTCAAGTCAGCAGCTGCTTGAAGGGAGAAGCAAAGAAAGAAGAAAGCAAAAATAAGAGTCACAAGATGATGGCATCTGAACGTGAGGTGATCCATGGCTGGTTTCCTGAACTTCTCCCGAAGAACTTCAAAGAAAGCTTGTTGAGCATATGATACCACAAAATCGTTCTCACCTGTTTGAACAAAATTTAATACAAAAGATAACAAATTGATGATATATGCATGGACATGGCAAAGAAATTGAAAGCAAGCGTTTCCATTTGTATGCAAACATAAGCTTCATAAACATCAGGCACAGAAAATGCTTTAAATGAGAAAATAACAAATACAATCTTAAGAATAGGAAAATAATATTTCATTACAGTATGAGAAGCAGAGGATAACACACCTTCGACAAAAAGGATTCCTTCTGACCAGCAAAGTAAGTCATCAACTACGCTGGCTATGGAAAAGATAAAGTAGCACTTCTGGTAGTGTCCCAAAGAGGAGTGTAACCTCCACCATGGGTTTCACATGAGTAACAGTACAAGAACAAGACAATATTCTTTCTGCTACTGTTACCTTCTCCAAACTAACATAAACTTGAACTATTACTTTGGCTAGAGCAGATTTATCATACTCAGTTTATCAGTCTATCTACCCTTAATTTATCATGGACCACATAATAATAAATGAGATCTAGTCCTGTTCACTTCTAAGCATCGGAAGTAGTTAGGAGAATGAGCAAGAAGGCAAAGCCATAAATATTTCCTAGAATCAAGACCCCACTTCACAAAAGCTTAAAGACTTATAAAATATTGGCTATAAGAATTGATCTGCTCATACTAAGGGCACCGTCACTGTCAACCACAAGAATTTTTATTGTGTGCGGACACCACCGGATGGTGAGAATCGTCTAGTTTTATCTCTGTCTACATTAAAAGAGTAGTCAAAGCATAACTGCTACAATAATTGTGCTTTGACTATACTTTTACTGTAGACAGAGAGAAAATCGAATGGTTCTCTACCGTCCGGTGTTTGCACACAATAATCTCTCCAACCACAATATCTACTTCGGGTGATATATTTGTCAACATAATCAATTTACTTAGAAAACATTGTAGTGAAGGAAAATGAAATGAAAATGACTAAGAGAATCAATTTACATATTAATGGCATTGGAACCAAAGAGCTAATACAAAATTGTGAATAAAATGCATTTTCATCCCTCCAATTGTTTCAATCCAAACTTAGCCTTAATGTTCCAAAGCCATCTGAAAGGTCTTTAATGAAGAAAAATGGTGACTTTAAGAATTTTAATCTTACAAAACTTCCATTTGACTAAAATCGAGGCTGTTTGGTAGCAGGATTTAGGCCCGATATTTGAGGCAGATTTGAGCGAAATTCAGCCAAACGGCCTAAAATGCAAAATCAAATCTCAGGGAAAATGTAAGCCGCCATGGACGGAAAATTCTGCCTTTTCGTGCTAAATTCAGGATTTTTGAAATCTTATTTTTTGCCGGATTTATGATATCTATTGGCTTCAGAGGAAGAGTCCGCTCGTTAAATTCACTCTATAGTCAACCAGTCACACGAGATTTAATACGACTTATCACGAATGTTACCAAATAGTTTTCAGGATTTAGGCCTCTCATATTTCCGAAATCCGAATTCAGAGGATTTACAAAATCCTACTTAAATCAAAGCCTGGGCGCTGCCAAACAGCCCCTCAGCATCAAATAAGGCAGCATAGCCCAAAGGAATTCAAAAATGAAAAGGAATTCATGGAAAAATACAAAGTTGGAATAATGTCCTCGCATCAACAAAGGTACAAAAGAGAGGATAAAGAAAAGCGAAAGTAAAAAAGAAAAAGGTAAAAAAGCTAAGGTTAGAAATCAGAAGCAAGCATATAAATTAGTTGAAAGTATTAGGGTATTAGGTTCCATTAAGTTGGCCTAACCCACTTACAAAACAATAATTAAATAAAGGAAACACAGAAACGACAACAATCACTGTTGATTCTGAAACAATTTCTCTTCTTTAGAACCGCATATTCAAAGCACTACACCTAATTCAGTGAAGCCATGGCCGCCCCCATTAACAACTGAGCAAATTGTCATATTCAAAATATTCACCATCAAATCTGAAACAACAGTAACTGGAAACCATTCAATGTAAGAAAACAAATTACAGAAAGCAATCAAGCAAAGAAAAAGAAAACGACTTCTTTCTTAAAACCAGAATGAAACTAAAAAGATAGCCCTAGCGATAACAAACCAACAAATCAAGAAGAAAGCAACATTCCACTGAGATTAATTAAAAAAACAGAGAGAGAGAGAGAGAGAGAGAGAGAGAGAGAGAGAGAAGAAAAGGAAACGTCAACTTACGGAAAAAGATAAGCGGCGCCGCGGACCTAAAGCCCATCATAGACTCTCTCCATATAGTCTCCAGTATAGCAGCAAACTGCTCGGCAGATTCAAATACTTATGGCATTTGGTATGAAATTCAAAGCCTTAACATTTACAAATACATTTCATTCATTGTATCTAATCTCTCGCAGTAAGAACTTTGATCCAAAGCCAAGCGTGAATCGCGAAGCAAAGTTCTTGAAAGAGTTACAGGCCGTTCAAATCCGCCATTGGAGCTCGAGAGTCGAGACCAGAGAGAGCGAAGACAACAGTCACTTTTGGGCGATGGAGTATTTAAAAGTAACCCTCAAAGTTTCTTAAATTTACGAAACTGGTTTTCCCTCGATAGCGGGGTGGAAGGCGTGGGGGATCATATATTGATATGGTTGATTTCAACCGTTAGATCCCGATCGGGCGGGCAAATATTGGCTGTTGGTTTCACCGGCTGGTGGGTCCCACCTTACCTAACGTTTGCATGGTTTGATTCGAATTAACTTCACTTCCCATAATACACCGTACGTGATTTTTTTCCCATAATACCCCGGCATGCAATAAGGTATTACAGAGCCCATTAAAAATGAAAAATATATATATACTTATAAATCTGTTGATTTTGAATGAATTTTAAAAATATTTAAATTTATCCTTTATTTATTATTGTATTTAAATTAAACTTAAGAATAGTTTAATTTGAATTATTATGAGTGTTAGAGTAAAATTTAGATGTTTGATTAAACAAAAAAATAAATTCAATATAGTTTATTGGTGCATTAGAATTCTGTTATTAGTCTATTTAAAGTAATTGTTCACATATATGTCGGGGTCCAAGAGGATAGCGCCCCCTACAAGGGTTTTTGGGGGCAGCGCCCTAGGAACAAATTTAGATTTACTATTTCTCTTTGTATTTGTTTCATCATTCTCTAATAATAACACATCTACACAATGTATTTAATTATATTAGAGGCAATTGCCTAAAGATCATAGTATTTAAACATTTTTATGGGGAGAAATTGCCTAAAAACCCTTGTAATAAAGACTAAAATTTATCTAAATAATAGTATAATGAAAAAAAAAAAATTCATGGAGGGAAATTGGCCCCCTAGCAACAAAGGGGTTCCGCCCCTGCTCGAGATCTATATATGCATTCCTGAATAGTGACTTCCACCTCCATAACTATTGACCAATTTTAGCCATCATGACCTTCACGATCCTTTTCAATAACATCTCTCTCTCCATCGACCTAGGTTCAAGCCAAGCTTCCTGTCTCATCATTGATCACCACTGATACATCATGCAAAAATTATCTTGATCGCTAGCAACAAAGGGGTTCCGCCCCTGCTCGAGATCTATATATGCATTCCTGAATAGTGACTTCCACCTCCATAACTATTGACCAATTCATATGCAAGCCACTCCCTCAACCTAGCCATCATGACCTTCACGATCCTTTTCAATAACATCTCTCTCTCCATCGACCTAGTTTCAAGCCAAGCTTCCTGTCTCATCATTGATCACCACAATGTTACTTATTATGTCCTAGATATTTATTTTATAAATCTATTTTTTTTTTATATTCAAACACACATAAAAATAATCTATAATTGTATTTTCCATTATGTAATAATGACTTAAAATTTCAAATGCCAAGCTGGTAAAAATAACAGCTTTTTATTTTTCTTTTTTGGGTGCCTTTCTCTTTATTTTAATTTATTAAATTTGATCAATCATATATGCCTTTGGACCTTAGGACCTTTGGTGGGTCATAAATGATCATGACCAATAATTCAAAAAGGAAAGCTATTTGGGCCTATCGAAATGGGCCTCCACTCTTTTCCTTGGTCAATTTGGAAGTGATTTATAGTCAATGCTGATTGCTTTTGGTGGATTAGAAATATTCCTAGCAAGCAAGAGTAACGCTCAAGTGTAGAAAATAATTCTCAAGTTGCTACACTCACTACTAACTATAGTAGATGCTGGCAGTGGTCGAATCAAAGGTAGATAAGGGTAATTAGATTTGAGTTTAATATATATATATATAGTTAGTTAGTTAGTTAGTTAGTTACATACTAGAATAATTGAGTCGATAAAATGTGTGTTTTATGTTTCAATATTGTACAAAATTCAGTACGCCTAGATAAAAATAGTAAGACTAGAAATTTTTTTATGTCCGAAAATTCGAAAAAAAAAAATCAGGGGTTTATCCCCATTGAAAAATCTATTATATATTAGATGATACAAGAACAATTCATTCCTCATAGTTGAATAAGAAGAAGGCTATTTGAGAATAGAATGTATGATTTTTCTTATGTATGTTAGCAAAAATCAATTGTCCATTTGTGGACAATTAACATCCAACAGCAGTGTTTGATTTTCCCAAAAAAGATTATATAAAGCAGGTATCCACATGCGGATTATATCTAACATCAGGGTTAAATCTTGTCAGAATTATGGAGATAATGATAATTAATAACGGTGATCAATGAGAATGATGGTGGTCGGTGTCAATAGCTGTTGGTGGTGGTCATCGATGATAATTGAAAGATACAATATAGCTCTTTTTTCTCCTTTCTCCCTCCCTATTATATGGAGAATGATGTACTATTTATAAGCTTTTTGGAATGAACATTTTGATAATTTAAACCATAATCCAAAACATTCAATCGTACGATTCATATCAATTCGATCATAAAAGTATTTTTTTCAGCATTGAGATGCCTTAATGATGTCAGAATTGAGTGATCTTGGGCTAGTTGGATTTGCCCGATTGAGTTACTCGATTTGACTATCAGCATGTCAAAATTAGAGTTCATGTGATCATTATTTTAATTTTAAAAGCTTCCAATTCAAAATTGCCTTAAGATTCATAAAGATCATATGATTTGTCTAGAGTCATATATACAAAAATTTGGGGTGGCTAAGAATTTCCTTACATAGTTGCAATTATTTATAAAAACAATCATGACATCTCCTCCAGGACTTCCACATCTCCACTAAACAATCCACCAATTTTCACTGTGACAACATCTCATTAATCGCATCAGTCAATAATGTCATGTTCCACACATGCACAAAAATATATAGAAACTGACTATCATTTCATTCGAGAACACATGCAATCGAAAAAAAAGCAGACTAGTACACATCAACTCTCTCAAGACCAAACAACATACATCTTTATCAAATAGCTTCCTACACACATACTTCGAAAACTTCGACAGAAGCTATCTCACATGCAGCTAGAGTGCCCACCTCAACTTATCTCATCTCAACCATTAGATCAAAACTAGCTAGACAATTAATACCTTACACATATAAAGCATACCACCTTTACCTATCAAAATACTAAAGTTGTCCCCTACCACTTCATAGATATATCACACTCTGAAGGCAAAAAAAAATATATAAATGAATATCTTAAATTCTACATCTTCTTGTAATTACTTCAAATTTCCTTTTTTAATTTATGTTTCGTTTGGAACAATTTTTTTAGTGCTTTTTAAACAAATTTTTTAGTACAAAAGTTTTTAGAAAGTAATAAGAAAGCTATCCCAAACAAAATCTTAGTTACAGCTTTTGATATGTATAGATGTTTGTTTAGCTTGGGTGGAAGCTGCCAATGCTGACAATTTTATCCTGGAAAATGAATTGATTTATGAGCTAATTTTAACTTTTTTGGGCTGATCCGACTCGTTTGACCGATCTTTAAAACCCATTTTCATTAAGATATAACTCTTGGATAAGATTGGGCTTCTGATTAGAGCAATTTTCAGACCAATTAAGTGGTATTTGAATAGATTTATCAGAAACATATAAGTAAATTATTAACTATAGTTAATAATAAATTTGTAATAATAGTATTGACCTAGGTTAATTATATCTAATAAATGTTTCATTAGATTAAATATGAAATTAATTTTTTAAATAAGCTAATTAAACATTAATCATCAATACATTCTAAATAATAGGATAATAATAACTAATTTTGATATTATTTTGTTTTTTAGAATCTTATTAAATGTATTATTACTTTGATACACTTGATCTTGAAAAGGATAGACATGAATAGTTAATTTAAGCTTTTTTTTTTAAGTATAAGTTAAGAATGAGATGAATAATTTTTCCTATATTAAATATTTGAATGAAAATAAAATTTATATCCATTTTTTTTTAAATACATAAATAACACAGAAAAAAATTTATTTACATATTTTTTTTTACCTATTTACAAAATTAACACCCATTTATCTCAATTCATAAGAACTTCAAATAAATTTCTTAGATTATAATACAATTTTTATCCTCATTTTTTTCTCTTTTAATAAATTCTCAATGATCATTTAGTTGCTTTATAAGAATATATATATATTTAATGTTACTCCGGCCTTCCTCCTCGATAAGGAGCTCTGATACGCTCTCTCTCTAAACCCTCAACATGACCTTTCGTCTCTGCTTCTCTTCTCTCACTTCTTTGGCAAACCCCCCTTCCATTTCCTCGAGTTCATCTTCCACAAGAGTCCACCCCAATTCAATCTCCTTCAAATTACCTTCGAGATTTCGATCCCGCAGCGCTGACCGGCGGCGAAGTTACCAGATTGCTGCAACTCTCACAGTGGATTCTCAAACCTCTGGAGAAAAAAACCTTGATACTGATCGGCCTAGGGTTCTCCTCGAGGTGAAAGACCTCACGGCGATTGTCGCAGAATCCAGACAAGAGATCCTCCGCGGCGTCAATCTTACAATCAATGAGGGCGAGGTAGATATTTTCTGTAGATAAGGAGATTTCTATTGGCTATCTCAGTTCAAATTCTCTTTGTTTTCCTGTTATTATTTATTCTTGCCTTTTGTATGGCTAGGTTCATGCCATTATGGGGAAGAACGGATCAGGAAAGAGCACTTTTTCGAAGGCGAGTTAATTTTAGATGCTTTCTTATGCATTTTTTATTTTTTCGGTGTCTCTGGTAGTGCTCCAATCGTTGAAGAAGGGAATGTAATTTATATTAGCGATGCGATTGTTCATATTCTGCGGTCGAACCAAATCGATTTAGGCAATTTAAGTAGAAACGGATGATATGCTCTTTGAACTAGAATATGTTCAATTGAACTAGGCTGCTGGAGGGAACAGTCTTATTATGGCTGCCTCATGTAGCTGATTGATATTGAATCAGATGGGAAACAGTTATTAATTTATTATCTTTTCTTGACCAATTTTATTATAAAGAGTCAGGTATGTTGAAATCCATCTGAAAACTGGTTTGGCACATGCATTAGCAAACAACTTTGAAGAGCAGGAAAGTGAACGGTTAGGAAAGAAATGAAAATGAGATAAAACCAAATTAAACTCAAGCTAGTTCAACATTCTGGAATAAAGTGCAAAGATTGTGCTTGCTGGAAATTATCGAGGCATTTAGCAAAGAGTGGAAATGGACTATGAAAGTTGAAATGGATGCACTTGAGTAGTATAAATTTGGGAGGTAGTCGAGTTTGCGGAAAAGAGGTCAGTGGGATGCAGATGGGTGTTCTGAAAAATATATAATGCAAATTGGTGTTTTATATAAAGTTTAATACAAATGGGACTTCTGAAGGCGGAGGGAGGGACTAAATGTGAATATTTATGCCCAAACCTTTGGTATTGATTACCAAGAAACTTGTGGCCCTATAGTAAAAATAAATACCACAGATTGTGCTTGCTGGAATTATTGAGGCATTTAGCAAAGAGTGGAAATGGACTATGAAAGTTGAAATGGATGCACTTGAGTAGTATAAATTTGGGAGGTAGTCGAGTTTGCGGAAAAGAGGTCAGTGGGATGCAGATGGGTGTTCTGTAAAAAATATAATGCAAATTGGTGTTTTATATAAAGTTTAATACAAATGGGACTTTTGAAGGCAGAGGGAGGGACTAAATGTGAATATTTATGCCCAAACCTTTGGTATTGATTACCAAGAAACTTGTGGCTCTATAGTAAAAATAAATACCACGAGAGTTATGATAATTTTGACTGCTAAGCTTGAATGTCCTTTGCAACAATTTGATGTTAAGAACATGCTCCTGTATGGAGATCATGGAACTCCTCGTCGTTGCAGTGCCACTAGGGAAATTATGATATGCAAATTAAGGAGGGCGTTTTATGTACTAACGCAGTTGCCTAGAGATTGGTTTGGTAAGTTTACGCGCATGATGTAAGTAATTGGATGCAAACAAAATCAGTATGATCTTACTTTGTTCATAAAATACTATGCCTCATGGGAGTTACACACTTATTATATACATTGATGATATCATTGTCAATGATAATGATCATAAAGAAAGAGAGGTACTCCATGCTAAGTTAGCTAAGGAATTCTAAATTAAAGACCTTGGCAAACTAAAATATTTCTTATGAGTTGAAGTTGCTCACTTGAAGGAGGGAAGCTTCCTTTCATAACAAAACTATGTGATTGACTTCTTGAGGAAGATAAAAAAACAAGTTATAGACTAATAAAGATACCCATTGTGTCAAATTATAAGCTTGAAGAGGTAGGTTATGATGAATCAGTGGACCAAGGAATGCATAAAGACTCATTGGAAGGTTGATTTATCTATCTCATACTAATTATCCATTTCATTGGTTCTATGAGCAATTTATGCATAACCCAAGGGAAGTCCACCTACAAGAAGTGTAAAAAATTCTTCAATACATTAAGTTGAGCCCAGGACAAGGATTAGTCTTTAAGAAGGGTTCAAATATAGCTCTAGAAGTGAATACACTAAGTCAACCTTGGGATGTTATCTTTTTTGGGGAAAACTTGGTTACATGGAGGAGCAAGAAGTAACCAGCTCTGGCAAGTTCAAGTGCAGAAGCATAATTTTGGGTTATGACACTTAGTTGTGTTTTAGTTAATATAGTTGGCAATAATTCAAAAGATCTTTGAATTCTAATAAAAAAATTGATGAAGTTGTATTGTGATAATGATTAACATTGCTCATAATCCTGTCACATATGATTGTTCTAAGTACGTGAATGTTGTGTGCCACGCAATGAAAGAAAACTAGAGAATATGTGAGATAGGTTAGGAATTACTAATGTAATTGATGAGATGAGTTAGAAATGATAAAATGTCTGAGTTTTTATTAACTTGGTATATTAAACCTGAGGATGATATGGTTAATCCCTTAGTTTTTGGAATTCGATTGTATTCTCATTAATTACCCAATGTTGTGTTCTAGCCTAGAAAGGCCAACAGCTGTATTGTAAAGCATTAAAAATAACATTCCTTTTCGGTTTCATGCTGCTCGCTGTATTGTCTTCATGAATGATTGGTCAATTAAGAAAAAATAGAAGCTCATTTACATGCAAGTTTTGAGAGCTGGTGTGCTTTAAAAGGTTGTTATTCGATGCACGAAGGAATAGTGATGTAAGGATATACCAAAATTTATATGAAGCAGCTCTTTTGAATTTCTTTCAGGCAGTGACTTTCTAACTTCCATGTATAACATAATACTTCTCATACTTGAGAGTATCCATAGCATGCTTATCAGCAGGGATGCCATTTATTTTTTGATTTTATTTTAGGATCATGAAAAATATTCCATTAGTTTATCTTTTTGAACACTTTTTGGTTCTTCATGGTGGTAATATGCCAAATTCAATTTCATCCTTATTTTATCTTTCTCAATTTTCTTGAAGATATAGGATGTTCAATGTGGAAGTCAATCTGCTTGGGAGAATGTTAAATAATTTATTTTATTTGGCCTTTCTTTAGTAGGTTCTTGTTGGGCATCCAGATTATGAAGTAACTGGAGGCACTGTTTCATTCAAAGGTGAGGACTTACTGAATATGGAGCCTGAAACTAGATCTCATGCAGGGCTTTTCATGAGTTTTCAGACTCCAGTGGAGATACCAGGTGTGAGTAACATGGATTTCTTGCTTATGGCCTGCAATGCTCGTAGAGAGAAGCGTGGGGAACCAACACTTTCTCCTATTGAGGTACCCTTACCTTTGTAAATTATGATTGATATTGCTTACCATCTTTCCTTTGTGATCCAATTTGAAAATCCCATTTCCTTATTAGCTTGCTTCTCAAAAAAATAAAATTTTTGGCATCTTTATTTCTGTTAGTATCACAGATTTTAAGCTTCAACAAGTTTCAGCATAAAACAATACCTCTATCATTGTCATTGTTGTTGTTGATTGCCCTTCATTGACATTGCACATATTTATTAGTCCATTTTTTATGCTTTCTATTTACCATTAATACAATGTGTTTGTGCTTAATTTTAAATAGCAATCATGCGAACTTTTGAGTTTTGAGTTCCATACTTATTATAACTTGAAGAATAAACGTTTCCAGTTTCTTGTTATGGATTGACTCGTTGATATTTCTATCTTCATTCCTCGCAGTTTTTTGGTTTTTTATCCCCCAAACTTGCTGCTGTGAACATGAATCCAAGGTTTCTAGACCGGAATGTCAACGAAGGGTTTAGTGGTGGTGAAAAGAAACGGAATGAAATCTTGCAGCTTGCGGTATGAATCTTTTTGTAGATGGTTTCCTTGGATCACAAATTCAGTTCCTGTGATCTTAAGGTGCATAATGTGTATTGCAGAATACGTGCTAGTGGTCTGTTAAAGCACCTTTGTTTTCAACAATCTTTGTTTTAAGTTAGAGCATCAATATTTATATAATACATTTTGTTCAGTTGTAACTATACCCTGCTACTGTACGAAACTTTGGAAATTTGGATCAATCAAACCTAAAAACAGTTTGTGTTGTCTCAAAATGGATGAAAATTTGTGAAGTAGAATATCCTTAATCATTTGTTAAAGCTGAAATTGAATAAAATCTGGCTCATTTTGGCAGAAGAAAATTGACTTTTAAGAAATACAAAACTTTTGCAAGGATAGAAACAGTAAATCACCATATGAACTCCTTGAGTTTCCCACAAACTACGATGCACCAACACTTCTCCTCAAAGAGGCATGCAAGGTCCGACACTGTGTCCGACACGACACTCGTCTAACACTCATCCGACACGTGTCGGACACACCGAAAACATGTCCGATTAAAAATACTAAATGCAAATTGGACACGCGTGTCGGACACGCGTATCTTAAATATTTTATGGATTTTTTAAAATATAATTTCTTGTATTTTGCGGGATTTAAACTAAATTTTTTATTTTCTATCCACAACATCAAATCAACGTCCGCACTTAATACCCAATCATCGAATATTCTCATTTCAATTTCTTTTTGGCAGTGAAGGTATTTTCATCTCCTCTCTTGGTGATTGATAAATGACATCGACGCTTGAATTATGTGATTGATGACTAGCCTTAATCGAAAGTTCTCTCTCGTTATCGGGAGGGGTAATTAACTATAGGGGCTTGCGCCTATAGGAAACTAGAACTCAGATCATAAAGTCCTCACAAAATGAGGGCGAAATCTCTGGGTAGTGTCTTATCTACAAACCCATCTGCCTTCCAAAATTTACCTCGGAACTTAGTTCGTTAAAACTCCCTCGCCGAATAAGAAAAGCGAGTGGAGGCCGGGGCCGAATTTTCAGAGCCCACAATATTAAAAAATTATTATGCCGTGTCCATGCCGCACCAGTGTCCTATATTTTTAAAAAATGCCGTGTCCCGTGTCGGTGTCGTGTCGTGTCCGTGTCGACGTATCCATGTCGGTGCATCATAGCCCACAAATTGCACATATTAGGCTTAGTAGTTTATCAGATGAAACTATTAGTGTACAACGTTTTTAGAGAATGGAATTCAATTTTCTAGTGGTTATTTGTACTACACTGGTGTTTCCCAAGCTTGAAAACTAGCATCATGGGAATCGGGGATCTAAAAGAGCAGTCTGACTGTTCCATTGTCTAAAACTATAGAAATTTTATGCCTGTGGCTGCTGCCTGCCTCTAGGCCGATTGGATGATGGTTTTCTCCCATTCAAAATGTCTTGAATTTGAGGATTGGCATAAACATACATGTATGAGATTTGTACTTTGGCGCTTAACTTACCCCTAAAAGAAAGTAGCTTCAATGTAAATATCTTCCAATATTGTCGCCCAGAAATTGGACCAAGCTATTACCAACATCAAATGTGAATTTTTTTTTAAAGAATGGCATTTGGATTCATCTTTTGTATAAGCGTCTGTTCTTTGAAATCCTCTTGCATCAAGACTGTTGATTAGAACCTCAACCCTAATATTAGTTGTGAATCAATAATCTGTTAGACCGGTCTAGCCGGTCCGCACGGGATCGGCCCAGCGCAACAGAGGCGGAAATCTTCCGCCTTTTCGGTTGTCGTTCGAACCGCAGGAGCCAACCGAACATTTAGGAAGGATTTTTGAGGGTTTTGGGAGGGAAATTTGAATGTAGGGACTGTTTAGGGATTTCCTTTTGATTTGTATGCATTAAATAGTTTGTTTTCCTAGGGTTAGAGCATCTTGAATTTGGCTGAAATTTGAGATATCTTAGATTTAGATTTTACTTTGGGCTCTGGTGGCGTCTAGAGATTTGGGAGAGATCGATCCTCCTCTCGAATTGAGGATCAACTGTATCTTGTTATTTTCCGTTTCTATTTCTGATAGGAAATACTTGGGATCAAGTATTTCTTATGCGTCTCTAGTGAAAATCTCCTCGCCAAATGCTGTCCCGCACAGGAAAACAGTGAAAAACAGCGGAAAAGTGGGGAAAAATTGAGAGAAAACGTAGGAAATCAATAGCAAATGATTGTATTCCACTAGTAGATGCAAGAGACAAGTAAGATGCAACTTTCCTTCGATTCGAGAGGAAGGAAAAACTCTCCAAATCTCTAGCCGTAGTCTAGAGCCCAAGAACAAGAAAACCTAGATCTCAATAATGTTCAAAATGCAAGATAATCCCTCATTCACACCCAAAACTCCTAATTAACCATAAAGGAGTTTTACAAATTGTCTAAACAGCCCTTCGCATTCAAAATTTCCCTCCCAAAAATCTTCCCTGGCCCCCGTCGGCTTCGTTTCGCCCGCTCGGTTCCGCCTGCTGCTCGCGGTTCCGTCGCAAGTAGACATGGACTGGTCCAGGTTGGACCGGTCCAGCCGGCCCCTCCTGGGCCGGCGTAACAATTTCATCAAATAATACAAATTATCTACTATTTTCTTGTTTTTGTGTGAATTTTGATGGAGAATTCTTGCTGTTTTCCGAAGATTGATAGGAAATACATGAGATCTACAAGTGTTTTCTATCAAATTGGTATCATAGCACGTCGATCGAAGGGGAACGAATGGCTGGAAGGAAAGTGAAAGTTTTGGAGGGAGAACTTGGGCAACTCAAAGCAGATTTTGAGGTGAAGATTGCTGATTTTCAAAATCAGATTGTATCCGTCAATGAAAGGATGGAGGAAACGTTTGCCGTGGTGGAAGACATGTTGAAGAAATTGCTTGAAGCCAAAATCAAACCGGTGACATTGGAAGCAAAGGAAACTACCGGCGGACATGGAAGATATGTGAACCCTAACACGTTTAGGGGAAGGGAAAATCTAGAAGTGGAGATTCTGGAGGGAGAAGACGGAATGCCTCCTCTAGAACCACTTTCTAGGGAGGGAATGATCATTGGCTACGCAAGAAGGGGTGATGATTTTGATCGTCGATGTGCTGATTTTGAAAGAAGAAGAGGGGATTTTGATGAATGGTTTGGGTATGATCGGCGGAGGGAAGATCATGACAATCGGGGAGCACCTCTGCTTCGAGGAATGGGAGGTAATGGAGGATTTAGGGGAAATGGGTGTGACCCGAGAGTGAGAAAATTGAAGATGCCAATCTTTGAGGGGGAGGATGCACATGAGAGGATCTGCACGGTAGAAAGATATTTCACCGTCAATGGGCTGACAGAGGAGAGATTGACGGCGGCGGGCCTATGTTTAGAAGGGAAGGCTTTGTCTTGGTATCAGTGGAGGGACATGGGATGACCCATACGAAGTTGGAGAGAGTTCAAGGATTGTTTGGTAGAACGTTTTCGAACTGGTAGGGGAGGAGACTTCTACGAGCAGTTCTTCGCCTTGACACAGGAGAGTTCAGTGACGGAGTACCAGGATAGATTCGAGTACCTGGCTAGCCGATTGGACAGCCTTCCTGAGATAGTGCTAGAGGAAAATTTCATGAAGGGACTGACACCAAAGATCCGGGCAGCGATTAGAGTAATGAGGCCTCGTGATGGGGACATCAGATCGTGGAAAGTTTATCGAATACGTGACCTTCGATCTACGGCCACGATTGAGTCATTGTATTTTTGAGATGTATTATGTATTTTCTTATTTATGATGTTATATTGTATTTGCTTTATTAGTTTTTCATTTTTGCCCCTTAAGGGAGGTCGTATGTAAGTCCAGTGGGCGTTGTCATCTTTTATTTTCTTGAGTCTTTGTACGAGACTATATATAGTCCCATTATTCTCTTTTGATGTTAATGAATGATTGAAAGAAAATTTTCCACAAGTCTTTTGAGTTCTCTTGCGAGCTTGAGAAATCGGAGTGAGATCCCTAGGAGAGGGAAGATTGCGCATCACCCACCAACCTAGACGAGTCGGGTTCGTGGTTTTATCCCCTATCTCTTCCCTTCCTCCTCCCACCACCCCCCGCTGGCCCAACTTCCTTCCTCCCGCACCCTACCACCACCTCTCCAAAATAACTCCACCTCCACCTAGCCGCCGGCCCCCTTACCCGAACCCAAGCAAGCCTTCAGCCCTAGCCTCCTTGCCCTCTCTTGAAATTATTTCATATTCTAGATTGACATAATTTGGATAGATTTTGAATTCAAATTCACCCTATTTGAAATTTAAATCTTTCCTAAATTATAAAATCTATTTATGGAAAATTTCCTAAATTAATCCCCAATCACATCCTAATCAAATTTAAATTACATTTGATTGAATCCTTTTGCCTTATGAGGAGTTCTCTTATTTGGAAGGTGCTTAAATCCTCCCTAATTCCCTCCCCTTAGCCATTAATGACGTCGGTCCCTATTAAATCCCTCCTTGGATTTATTTCCTAAAACCAAATCCCACTCTTGGAAATAATTCAAAGCCCCCAAGCCCCCTCTTGGCCGAAAATTCCTAAAGCCCCACCTCATGACTACTTTACAAAATCTCATCCTTGATTTTGGAAATAAATCCCAAGTTTTCCCTCTCTTACCCGCCACTCCTATCTCCTTTCCTCTCTTCCTTTAATTAGTCTCAATCAAGAGGCTTATTAGGAAGTGTTGAATTTGAATTCCCTCCATCTCCTCTCCCAAAATCTAGACCAAAACCCTTACCTTTGCTCTCATCATTGGCTGCAAGAGAACCAAAAGTTTGACGAGTTACTCGTTGCTCGGTTTGATTAAAACTCGTTTGTAATCGTTTAACTAACTAAACAAACAAACTTGGACAACATTTTAAATATTTGATCCTTAAATAAACAAGCTTGAACACTAAGGTGTTCGGTTCATTTATGTTCACGAACAACATCATTTGAAGCTCGTGAACAAGCTCGACATTAAGCTCAATTAGAACCTCGATTCATGTTCGATTCAAAGCTCGTGAATAACGCATTAAAAATTCGATTAATATTTAATTATAAAATTGATAAATATACATAATATAAATACTTTAAATTTATTATAACATAATGAATTTGTTCATGAACAAGAGACATTTTACATTTATCCATGTTTGCTAGATTATTTGTTTAATATGTTCATGAACAAATTTAAGGTTTGTTTGTTCAATAGATTGTTTGTTAAATATGTTCACGAACATAGCTCGTTAATGTTTGTTTATTTAAAGCTCGATAAGTACTAAACGAACCGAGCATGAACCAAACATGAACACCAATAAATTAAACGAACAAAACATGAACACAAACAATAAAGTTCGAATCAAACATGAACCGAACTTGAACAAGGTAATAATAAACAAACTCAAACATGAACACTCACATACTCGGCTCGGCTCGGTTCGTTTGCAGCCCTACTTTCCCTCTTGATTTCTCTAGTCTATCACCTCCATCTCAAGGAGAGTCTTCAAGGGAAGCATCAACGATTGTCTTCAACATCTCATCCTCCAAAGGCTATGTATGGTCGATCCAGATCTTGATTACGGTCTCACCTACGATGAACAATGATTTGTTTGCATCCTTCGCTCGACCTTTTTCGACGTCAACTCTCGCATCAACAATACCGTCGAAGAATACGTGAAGCGCATTCTAGACACCCTCGTCGAGGCCATTGAAGAACAACTTGGCGCCGTTCAGTGGAGGATTGAATCTCAACCGCGATAAGGGTTTGCCAATCTCCCTTTTCTCGTATTTTCATTGTCTAACTTGTTCTTGTGATTTGATAGATTCACAAAGATCTTGCCCACCAAACTCTGCCGAGCTTAGTAATTGTAGGGATTGAGTGCACTTTATTTGCTTCTAATCTTATTGTTAGATTAGGGATGTTGTTGAAGTCTATTTACTTAAGCATGTTGTTGAATTTCTAAGTTATTTGATTTTCCAAGTGTTTAGCAAGTGGCTTAGCCTAAGCGTAGGCACCCTTCTCTTGTTTTATCTTATTGTTTTAATTTGATAAAAATTTCATCTTTATTTCTCTAATCAACGAATCATGCAATATTCTTATTTCATCAATTTAAAAGCATTTAGTCCTACATCACCTCGTGACTTGGGAGATGTTATGGAACTAGCTCAATTGGTGGAGGATCAGAGGCACTTGGAGAGAGAAAATGTAGACAATATGTTTGTAGGCTCGTACAAGATGACCACCACCTTATTGGCATCCAAGGAGCCAATATTGGATACTCTTCGGGGAACTTCAAAGGAAAATACTTCAGGAGGAAGATCTGAGGACGACGTCAAGAAGCTCATGGAAACAGAATTACAGGAGAAAAGGGCGAATGGGCTCTGTTTCAGATGCGACGAGAAGTATACTCCGGGGCATTGGTGTAAGTACCGAACTCTTCAGGTTCTTACCGTTTGTGATGAAGAAGGAATGGAGGAGGGTGTCATTTTTCCACCTTGCGAATAAGGTGGAACTTTGGGAGGGGAGTATTATTAGACCGGTCCAGCCGGTCCACACTGGATCGGCCCAGTGCAAAAGAGGCAGAAATCTTCCACCTCTTTGGTTGTCGTTTGGACCGCAAGAGCCAACCGAACATTTTAGGAGGGAATTTTGAGGGTTTTGGGTGGGAAATTTGAATGTAGGGACTGTTTTGGGATTTCCTTTTGATTTGCATCCATTAAATAATTTGTTTTCCTAGGGTTAGAGTATCTTGAATTTGGCTGAAATTTGAGATCTCTTTGATTTAGTTTTTCCTTTGGGCTCTATCGGTGTCTAGAGATTTGGGAGAGATCGACCCTCCTCTCGATTTGAGGATCAACTGTATCTTGCTATTTTCCTTTTCTATTTTATCAAATAATACAAATTATCTACTGTTTTTCTGTTTTTGTGTGGATTTTGGTGGACAATTCTCGCTGTTTTCCAAAGATTGATTGGAAATACGTGAGATCTACAAGTGTTTCCAATCATAATCATAATCTCCACCCCAACAATTTACAAGAGCATGTTCTTCCCCTTCTTTTATTTTGCTTCCCTGCTTGCATCCATGCTGCTCAGGGGAATGAGGATCCTACTCTTTACTCATTTATAAAATTAGCTTATTGTTTGGTTTTCTTTGGCTGATTCATTCCTGTTATTTTCTCACAGCAATCGTTTTTAATAGGTTCCTTAACCTTTTTCTTTTCATTGTATTGGAACTTTTTCTGGGTTTTAAGTTAGAACTATCAAAAGAAATATGCGCGTCACTACTTATCATGAATTGTTGTTAGCGTAACCTTTCTGTAAGAAACATTAAATGGATGGATGGCATGCATGTCATTTTATTAGACTAAGTGAGCGAAGAAAAAAAAAATGGTAAAACTATTTAAATGAATTCAATTCCATGTTGAAATATTTTATTGGGTCTAGTAGTTATAGTTTTTCCTTATTTTTATGACAAATGAATTTGCTTTAAGTTTTTATAAATGGATAATTATGTTAATATCGGTGAACTGCTCGGAAGGTACCGGTATAAGAAGATTATAAGAATTGATTGAACAACCTACATATATAGAAGGGCAAATTAATCTATAAAATTCCTAGACTAATAAACACGCACATGCATATATGATTTAGGACTTGTAAATTAGTTTATTCTATTTATTTTACTGATTTGAGTATCACTACATAGAATCATACGCACAAACACTTACTGGAATTTATCGATCAATTTGCTTGTGTGCGTATAGCTTAACTAAATTCCTGAATAAATACACACATACATACATGCATGATTTAGGGCTTGCAAATCAGTTTTTTTTATGGTTTGAGTATTATAACTGCTTGGAATCATGCGTACAATTACAGAATTACTTCATATATTTTTTAAGGCCTTGTTTAGCCACCCCTTGACATTTTGGTCAATTGTAGACTATTGTTATTTAGGGGTCTTTGATTTGCTGAAAAATGAATGCAAAGTATTCCTTTTCTAGGGAAAACTAAAATTTAGGCGTTTGGTTTGTTGAAAAAGATGTGTAGTATAAAATTTCAACGAGTTTTTTTTCACTCTCTAGTTCAATTTTGATGTATTCTAAACTTACCTAGTTTTGGCCGAATTTCTTTTTCATTGCAAGCCAACGACCTGTCGGCCTCCCTACCCGTTATCACCTCTTGCCGGAAGCCTCCATTGCCGCCATCCGGCTGTTGGTCGTTGCCGCCGACCGTGGCCAGCTGATCATCGGCCACTGCCGCTTGCCGACCACCGTTGTTGGTTACCATCAATCACCTCCGGCCGTCGCTATCCGCTAGCCGCCACAGCTACCGTCCATCTCCGCCTGTCACTGGATACCATAGATCACAACTGGCCGCCTCCACTAGTCCCCACCATCATTATACTTTATATTGCATTTATTTTATTTCAAGCAAAAAAAAAAAAAAAAAACTCATGCTTTTTTTTTACACTCATCCAAACAACAAACATTTCAAATACACAACATTCCTTTTACAGTGCATTGTTTTACTCTGCATTTATTTTTAGCAAACCAAACATTGCCTTAGAGCTAAATATATTAGTAGACTAAGTTTATTAATATATCAACTTTAGAAACTTCTAATTTGTATTATGCAACGCATTTCTTCTAGTATATTTAATTAAATGTACCATACCTCATGTTTCTAGTCCTGCTTTTCCAGTTTTGCATTACTTGTAACATCTAACGTGTAATTTCAGGTTCTGGAGGCAGAGTTGGCTATTTTAGATGAAATTGATTCTGGTTTAGATGTCGATGCACTTCAAGACGTAGCAAAAGCAGTGAACGGGTTGTTGAAGCCCCATAACTCTATTTTGATGATAACCCATTACCAGCGCCTGTTGGATTATATCAAACCCAACTATGTTCATATAATGGTAAGAGCCGCATGAGTCTCAACAGAATGATTTTCACATGATTTTGAATGGAATGTCAGTGATTATTATCATCTTCTGCCTGCTAGGAGGTAACTTATATTTGAATTCTACAGTAGAGTTCTGTAGCCATTTTTGAGGTTATGATATTGAATTCTATGCCAAATCAAATACCACCATATGTTGGATCCAGTATTATCAGTGGAAAGATATATCGCAGAAATACAAATTGATCCCAAAGAGTGTGGAAGATAAGAAAGAGAAGATCCAGTCTTCATGACCCGCCTTAATTAAGTGGTCTGTAAGGGGATCTGGAACTACCCCTTCGATGGAGAAGTGTGAATCAACCCAAGTTGTAAAGATGATTAAGAGAGAGTGAGAGAAAGAGATTTTGAGAGGAATTTTGAAGAGAGACCAATGAGAATTTTAGCAAAAAGTAGAAGATCACATAGAAGTATTTCATTTTCCCAACTTATGACCCTCTATTTATACGTGAGAGCTAAAACTGACATTCCAGAATCGACTACATAGTTTTCTTATATAGGAAATGCATAACTTTGACTAGATGTAACTATCTATGTAGTGGGTAAATCTGTATTGTAGTCGGCTGCTTATCAGAAACTACAGGCAAGTTCGAAATTGAGGAAGAGCACCCTTGGTGAGTTATTCTATCGAGTGATTGAGTTCGTTGGATGAGTAGCCTTTGCAAATGGAATATTTTGTGAGTCCTTTGGCAAGTTCAGTAGCTTAATATTGAGGTTAAGGAGAAATTATTCTGTGTGGACACTGGACAGAGAGAACCGTCCGGTTTTCTCTGTGCCTACAGTAAAAGCACAGCTGCAGCTGTAGACAGAGAGAACACCGGACGGTTCTCCCCTCCGGTGTCTACACAGAATAATTCATCTTGAATAAAGCTAATTCTTGTAGGAGTATGGCCAGTTGGCAAGCTCTTATCCTAGACAACTTGAGGCCTTACCAAACTAAAGAGCATTAACAAGCTCCAAGTTGCGAGTAATTCAGTTTGTTTCACAATCACCGGCTTTCTCAACCCAGGTCGTGCTGTTATAGAGGCTTGATCGACGTGATCTTCTCCTGGTTTCTATTTTTAATTATCATCAAAGCATGGAATGCTTTGATTACATTATTTCTTTCTGATTTACATTATTTTGTGTACGCTGTCTAAGCCAATTGCAATTCTATTTGTTAATCCACTTAGTTCGGTTACTTTAAAATGTGTGCAGGAGGCTGGTGCGATTGTGAGAACCGGCGACTTTTCCCTGGCAAAACAACTGGAGAAGGAGGGTTACAGAGCAATCTCTTCTGCTTAATTCACAAGCGCAAGACACTTCAGCTCCATCACTTTAAAACACGGCAAGTGTGCTTGGTAAGGCCGTACATCTTTCTATAGTTTCTGTAGTATTGCAGAATTTTGCTTATTAACTGATCAATTTCAATAAATCAGCAGCAAGTCTTTTAAGATATTTCTGTATGTTCACTTAAAATCATGGCTCCAATTATAGAAATCCTGATTACCACTAACACACTGAAAACCTCAAAATTGTGTTAAGGCAATACTTGAAGGTCTCAAAGTGCAGTGATTAAGCTCTGATTAATTTTTCAAAAATATTTCAAATGCTTATTAAAATTTAATTAACTAATTTAAAATGCTTTAAAAAAAAGAGAGATTCCATTGCTACCGTGGCTAACTGATATAGATGTCGACAATGTTTGTAGAATTCTGAAGACTAGTCATTTTTCTTTGTTAGGTGTCTGATTGGAAACACTTGTAGATCTCTAAGTATTTCCTATCAATCTTTGGAAAACAGTGAGAATTCTCCACAAAAATCCACAAAAATAGGAAACCAGTAGATAATTTGTATTATTTGATGAAATAGAAACGGAAAATAGCATGATACAGTTGATCCTCAATTCGAGAGGAGGATTGATCTCTCCCAAATTCTCTAGACACCGCTAGAGCCCACATGAAACTTAAACCTAAGAGATCTCAAAATTCAGCCAAATTCAAGATGCCCTAACCCTAGGAAAATAAACTATTTAATGCATACAATTTAAAAGGAAATCTCTAAACAGTCCCTACATTCAATTTCCCTCCTAAACTTTCTCAAAAAAACTTCCTAAACTGCTCTACGTTGCTTGGGCGTCCGATCGGGTGTACAAGAGGCGGAGGTTTTCGCCTTTGTTAGCGCTGGGCCAGTCCCATGTGGACCGGCTGTACCGGTCTAACAGGGTCTCTATCAGAAACTTTCAATTGTTAAACGACAATTGAAAAAAATTAATCACAGCTGGAAGGAACATCAGGTAGTTGAATTGATCATTCTTCAATTTAAAACCTAATTCTTCTTTAGAATTTAGGTTGAATTTGCATTGCTATATGATATTCTGATCAGAATTCAACCAAGATAAATTTTAAAATTTTTTAATTTGTTTTGAATTGAGTGTAAAATATAAATTATCAATCAAATTTTATATAAATTTAGAAGTTTAAAAACTATTAAGATTAAATTTTGGTCATATGTCCTCACCCTTTTTTTTAATCTGTAGTTGTATGGCTGTTTCCCATGCTCTTTCATGTTGTTATTTTGTCAAAGCAATTTCGGATTGACGCAGCCATTTATATTAAATAAATAATCCCTTAAGGAATCTTATTTACATTTTAAATTATGATTAACATTGACGTAATAGAGCTTTGAAATAATCGTAATCGATATTTACTTTCTTAAATTTTCTCTTTTGCTTAGATCATATTGCATACTTTATTCCCGACATAATTTGATCATCAGAGAACACAGCTTTTGAGAGCTTTCTTAGATTTCGTTTGGGATGACTTTCTTTCTGCTTCTTAAAGTAGCTTTCAAATGAAGCCTTATTATTTTTTAAGTAACTTTTTAGTACAAAAATTTTAATATTTATAATTTTTTTTTTAAAGAAACAATAAGAAATCTATCCCAAATGAAACCTTAATTACTTTAGGGCTGATTCCTAATGACATATTTGTTCCAGATTAAATTTTTGTCTCTATGAAGAAGAAGGTTAAGTAAGAAAACATAAAATATCTATCCAAAGTGGTTAGACAAAATTGATGATGATGATGTTTTACTGTTTGAATAATCTATTTAATCTAATTTTTTTCTTTTACTTTATTGGAAATGTGCTTCCAAAATTACTCTTTTTGTATACTTTATAGCAGATGAATTGGCTTATTAATTTGTTTGTGATTTTATAATGAAATGTGATTATATTATAGTTCATATGATGCAATTGAAGCTCAAATTATAAGGTTAATTTCAAAGATCGTGATTGCATATTGCAAAAAAAAAAAAAAAAAAAAAAAAATAAAAAAAAAAAAAAAAAAAAACAATAGAAATTTTTTGTTAATTTAATATTTTAGGTAATATTTATCAAATACAAAGAGGCACAGTACATGAAAGGTGGTGGGCTTAATGTACATCTTTTTTTATATCAGATTGATGTTGTACATAATGTCTTGATAGAATATAAAATTAATTTCACTTGAGAATATAATTAATGTCAATTGGAGAGAAGAATGCCTCCAACTGTATTTAACAGATAATTGAAATATATTGAATAGGAGGATAGGTACTTTCTTTGAATATTGCAATTTAATGAAAAAATAAACATGGTGATGTGTTACATTTTGCTATGCAACTTTTTGAGTTGGGGAGAAATTATTCTGTGTGGAGTTCGGACGGAAAAAATTGTTCGGACATATGAGTGTATTTAATGTGTATATATTTGTACATAATATATATCAAGTGTGCACATTGTATGTAAACTCATGGTCCGAACAGTTCTTACCGTTCGGACTCTGCACAGAATAATTTTTTTGAGTTGGGACACAAAGTAGTATGTTGTCAAGAACATGATATTTGAGCAATTGGATCACTCAACATGTTGGCAAGAGCATAATGTTGTTCTTAATTGGTCCAACAAAGTTATGTGTAAGTAGGGTCATTGAATCACTTTCGCTTAGGGTGCATTATGTACTTGAGATTTAGATTGAGTTCATTATATTTATTAGTTCGAGAGTTTAAGTTAATTGGTAACGACCATCGTGGCTATTGATATGTTAGCGAAACATTCATTCAATCATGTATGGATATTGATGTTAGTATGAATTTTTGAAGGATGGGCTGATGGACTTTCTTTTAATATATGAATTTTGAGGAATGAATATATTTTTATACTCTGATGAATATAATTTTTAATTATTTTTGGTGGTTTGATTTATTTTGATATAACACTACCGTTGCCAGGTCTGAAGTCCTGGATGAGAAAAGTGGAGGGTTGGGGGTGTTGAAAAATTGTAAGACCTGGAGGTGCAGTTTGTCCTAAGGTATTATTGCACTACAAGGAAATCATCTATTCCGACGGGAATTTTTTTTTTGATAGAAAATGGTGTGATTTTCTATAAGTGTTTGATTGTATTTCACCATTTCTTCTTTGAATTGTATATAGATACTATTAACTAAAAAAATTTGTTTATTGATATGTCTACAAAATTATCTGATCCGGCTGCAATTGAATGCAAATTGTTGCATCTTGAAATATTCGCTGCAGTTAGAAGAAATATATATAGTTTATCGTCTTAGCTTTGTGCAAAGATTTAACAGCAATCAGATAAAATAGAAGGTGCCTCAACTTAAAAGACCTAGATTTTTTTACGTAGAAAACCCCTGAAAAAGTGGGGAAACCACAGGGTTGACCATGTTGTTTGAAATGATCCACTAGCATTTTGTAGTTGATTAGAAAATGAGGCCCTAGACTTCAGGGAAGGCCTTGTCTTGATGTAACAAATATATTTTCATATGGAGGCATTACAAGTCTGGGAAATAGAGAATAACTATTGAGTATTTCGTTTGGTCAGAAGACCATAGTCGGTGGATGAGGAGGTCGAATAGCACATATTACTGGCGAAGAGGTCGGAAAAGACGATTGTCTGGCTACGAATGTTGGAAGGACGTATCGGTGAAGGAGGTTGGAAGACCAATTTGGTAAGGCGACAAAAGGTTGAAAAAGATTATTATCGTCCGTTCGATATAGGTAAAGAACTGAACGTTTCTAGTGAAGGAGGTAAGAAGGATCATAGTCAGTGAAGGAAAGTTCAATAGGACCAAAGTAAGCAGGTGGCGGAGGTTTGAAAAGATCATTGTTTAACTGCCGAAAGCTGGAGGACCCTTATATGCGTGATGGAGGTTCAAGAAGAATCATAATTGGCAGGCAATAGAGGTCATAAGGATCATAGTCGATGAGCATTAGATGTTAGAAAGATGATTGTATGGAAATGGAAGTTGGAAGGTATGTAGTCGGCAAGCGATGGAGGTGGAAAGATCGTCGTTTGGTTACAGAGGTTGAAAGAACCGTAGTTAGTGAAGGAGGTCAGAAGGACCATATTTGGCGGCGACGAAGGTTGGAATGACCATTGCCTATGGGTAAGGGAGGTCAGAAAGACCGTAGTCGATGAAGGAGGTCAAAAGGATCATAGTCAGTGGGTGACAGAGCTTAGAAAAGACCTATATTGACAGGGCGACATTATTCAAAAGGACCATAGTCTCCGCAATTGACAAATGTTGGAAAATATGAAACTCCTCAGTAAAAGAAGGTAAACTCTTGAACATCGAGATGCCTTTTGGTGTAATGGTTGAAATTCCTTTAAGAAACTCCACAGTTAAACATGCTCATTCCTAAAGTAATTTGGATGACCAACTATTAGGAAGTTACACAATAGGACAAAATCATAAGACTTTTAGGGCCAAAAGTGGACAATATGTCATTAGTTAAGAGTTTGGCCTAATATAGGAATATTGTAGTCTGGCAAAGAGGTTGAAAGAACTATTGTCGGTGAAACTCCTATAATAATTAGAAGCCGGTAAAAGTTCAACATTAGTGGCTTGGCAGAAGTCCTATTTCAATTGGTAGCCGAGCATAATTTCGATGATAGTTTGAGTTTAAGATAGTTGCTACTTAGTCTTGCATATTTGATATTCTTACAACTTGTATAGTTTTATGATTAAAATATTATTGTTTTGATTTTATTTCTCCTAACATATTTTGAAAGAATTGTTTTTCTCTTGTGTGTACTAATATTTAGGAAAATCATACTCCAGATTGTTGAAACTTCAAATTTAGATCATTTTAGAGTTTATTGTAATTGAAGTATGTATTTTCCATTTTTTTTGAGTCTAGTCTTAATGATTTTTCAAGAGCAATTAAAGGAGTGAGTGTGAAGAGTGTTTGAGAGAGATTTCTTACTAGTGGAAGTGGAATGGTTCTACAAATTACTCAAAGGTAAGGATATCTATGTGTGATTTACATTTTTCACTCTTCCTCTTATCTTTCTAGTTTTCTTGTGAGAAGATTCTTGAAGAAAGGCCAAAGGTTTTCTATCTACACTTAGAAAGTGTGAACAGTCAAAGGTTCTCTCCTACAACTTAGAGGGTGT